TTAATAGATATAAAGAGATAAGGAAGAGAGGCAAAATTTAGGCAAACCCAGTAAATGGGTGCCCTATACAAATGTTGTGAGATTCGCTTCGGAGTCTTCTTTGGTTTGGTGAGAAAAATAAAACAAGCCGGTGCTTCGACCGATTAGGGGAAAAACTTTGGAAGTTTTATTTTAATTTAATATAAATATATTCGATATTTATATACAAAAAAATATACAAATAATGGAAAATAAAAAATAAAAAATTACTTTTATATAGATATTTCTTTTCTTGCCAAAGCAAACCCGAAGCTACCCAAAGCAGACCCAAATCTAACCAAAGAAACCCGAAGCGGCCCGAATCTAACCGAAGAGGTAGCACCAAGCTTCGCTTCGTTTTGGTTTATGCCTAAAATCCGAAGGCTTCGGCCTCTTCGGCCGAAGCGAAGCAAATTTGATAACACTGCCCTTACAACCCCTAGTGGCCCAAAAACTGCTCTACACCAAAATCGAGAAAATTATGTGGAACGCAAGCTTAAAAAATGCCTACATCAAAAGGAGCAACAGAAAAAGCATAAATTTGACAAACACCAGCAGATGTGAACTATGTCTTCCTACTTGCATAGAGAAGACTCTGTAGATGCGGATAATGCCCCTTTTGCTGTGGTGCCTAGCTTCCTTCCGGAAGTTCCAAGAATGACCTCATGCAACCCCAATCTGTTCCAACAGATCGAATATCTACCACAAGAAAGTCCAAGTAATCAGAAATCACAAATCATTAATATTAACAAATGAAATTATTTGTAATAATTGAAAAAATTTGGAACATCGAACCCAATAAAGAAAAAAGATCCAATCACTAAGAACTCACGAATCATTCAGATTAATAAATTAAATTACTCATCTTTCTCAATTACTCATAAAGTACGAGCAAACACAACTCCGATCCTAGCAACACATACTATTTATTTAAAACATTACTTGAGTAAGTACTAGGTAATGTAAATATTTTGATTTTCATCCACATCATACAACAAAATGTAAAATTTCAAAAAACATATCAACAGCATATAATGAGAAGTGTTGAGCATACTATTATCAAGGGACTATGAAAAACCTTAGTCCATTATAAACTGTGATGGGGAAAGAGAGTGGGACCCAAGTAATTTTCTGGTGGGTCCAACTTTCTCTTTATTCTATCCCTTTGTATGTATCATTTCACTGGACAGTCACTATCCAATAGACTATGGTTTTTCCATATTCCATTGGTGATTGCGCTATATTGTGATTTCCCATGTGAATATGTTGAGGTTTATCTCACAGCACATAGCAAAGTATCAACATTTCTTCAAATATATCACAATATATAGGAAAGTTTACCATACCCGCATGTTAAAATAGGTATGCTAGTGGAACATTGAACTTGAAGAAATTCCTTTGGTGGAACTGAAGCTCGAAAAAACTTCAGCTGCCAAAATATAAATATTAGCTCGATTTTCATTCTCCTCTTTCATAACTTAGAAATAGCGTACAGACATTGTTCAGTTTGAAAGGACCGTGCAACTCCTTTGATATTGGAAGAACACGATGATAAAGAGATTCCACTAAGTGATTCTCTAGATTCAACCTTTAGCATTCTCACAAGCTGGTTGCTCAATTGTGATTGAAGATATATATATCTGTTGCAGGAAAAATGAGAGTAAAGATCCTAGCAACCAGTTAGAGGAAGTGAGGATCATTAGAAATAAAACAATGGCTATAAAGAGAAAGATATATGCATATTAATATATCATGCATGCAAAAATACATATGCACACCAGTATTACATATCTAGTAAGTGTCAGTGTTAGAATGTCTAGTATGCTAGGCCAAATAGGCCGTACTTCCCAATACGTCCGTACATTCTTAATTTATAAACTCGCACCTCCTAACAGGAGGTGCGAACTAGTGCAAGTGGAAGGACTGAAAAAGGCAAAGGGTAGGCCCAAAAAGACGTGGTTAGTCCGAAAAAAATATGGGGACTTATAAGCTCACTAAGGATATGACCTTTACTAGAGCAGAATGGAGAACCAGGATATATATATATATATATATAAACGATCAAATTTGAGCCTACCTCAAAAAATTTATTAGAAGATGTTGTTTTGATGCCCAAATATCTTCAAATTGATCATCTTGACATCAAGGTGTATAGACATGAGAAAAAAATGGATTTCAAGTTTTGGAAATAGTACATTTTGTAACGCAGTTTTGGACCATCAATTTTCAAGATTTTCAAGCTTTCATAGATCTGTCTATCTACACTATTTTTTAAGCTTTAAACTTTATAAATAAATATGAAAATATATTTTAAGGCTATCACAAAGATTTTCAGTAGTGAAACCACATGTCTCGATACTATTTGAAGGTAGGCTCTATATAAACCGCACCCTAAATATATATATATATATAGGAAAAAGATCTTGTGCGCCAAGGTGCGTACTGCTACAGTAAACGCCCATGGCCTAAATTGAATTTGGGCCGATCTGACAATCATAGATGTCCGTTAGTGTTTGACTTTTAATTTTTTTTTCTACGAATCCAAATCACATTAAATTTTAGGCGTGTGCTCTTCAAAAATAAGCAAATCTACAAAAAATATCAAAAAAAAAATTTACATGAAATAAATTGACCAAAATACCCCTGAAAAGTTTCAGGGGGTATTTTGGTCAATTGTTTTCTCGAATTATTTTTTTTTATATTTTTATTAGGTGCGCCTTGATGAGAAGAACACCACGTAAAATTTCAAGTGATTTAGATTTGTAGAAAAAAATTTAAAATTCAAATACTATCAGACATTCGTGAGCGTCAGATCAGCCACAGAATGGCCCAGATTCACTCTGGGCCATTCGTGTAGGGGCGTATGAGCGTACAGCAGTGACTCCCATATATATATAAAATAAAAAATTTAGCAAAGTTAAAATAGTATTTTGTTAAATAAGACAAAATGTGTTATACTAGAATATCTAAGAAAATTTGAATAAAATTATGTGCTGCATAAAAAAGCCGTTATGAACTTTGTTTGCAATCAAGCTAACTTTCGAGCACCACCAGTATAGTGATTTCTAAGAATCAAGCCATCTTGGTTCGAGCCACTACGAAGGTATTTTGTGGTCTTCACTTCATTCCTATTGGTTATCACTCTAAGGCCCATCTGGTGTCATGACATCATTCAGTCATGCATGGCCCACATGACATTATTGAAAGAAATGTGAGTAACAATTATGGCTAGTCACATGGAGGTACCTCACTCATGTCAAGTGAGTAGTATGGCCTTTTTCCCTTGTGACGAAATGGGATATGCAGCGTCCACTCAGTTGACACTTCTATGAGATGTGTCAACGCATACTGTATGACCGGGATATCGTCAGACACGCATAACCCAGTGTCTACAGAGCCTCAAGGGAAGAGTCGAGGTAACACTGATGCATGCATCACATGCATGCATTCATGTGCCCAAAACATAAATATAAAATCCCACATAAGGAACGTGATAAGAAATATCAATGAATGAGGGACATGATATGGAGACACTTTGACGCACACCTCAAAATGCAGTTCATCTAAAAGAACTTTTTGCTTAAGTTTCTATCACCCAATGAAGGGTCATAGACCAAGCAAAACCTATAGGTAGTATCAGATATGAGGTGAGGTTCCCTCAATTCAATACAATATGGTTTCATTCTTTTAATATGATGCATGAGTTGTCTATCAAGAGGATAGATAGAGAACCATAGTCCATTAGTGTCATATTCGTACAATAAAATGGATGGTAATGGGTAAAAAGTGGGATGCAGACAAGCCTGTTCTGGTGGATCCCACTCTCTCCACCACTGTTAATCATTTCATTGACCATTGATAACGATTGAATGTGATTTTCAATAATCTATATTATTACAGTACGCTTTCTTCCTATAAAATATATGTTAATACAAGCTGCAATCTAATCAAAGTATAAGTCCATGATAGATGAATGAAAATAGAAAAGAACAAACCTTGAAGACCAACAACATTCCAGCAGGCAATCTTGTCTGAACAGCTTACAGAAAGAGTTCTCACCACGACCAGGTTTTCTTCTAACCATTCCCAGGCCATGCAAATGAACCAGCGAATGGGAAGGAGCGACAAAAACAGCATCTACGTCATTTGTCAAATTATCTGTTCTATGTAAGCTACTATTCTCCAACCCCCTCAACAAATATTCAGGAGTCATAGCGGAAGAAATGGCACCATTACTATCTCCAGGCAAAAGTCTGCCATTTCTTTATCACTACTATTAGCAACTCCCCTGTATGGTGTTTGGACTCCAGTTTTAGAAAAGTTCTCCCAAAATTCAGCAGAGCATTTTCCTGAAGATTCACAGTTATTGTCATAATAGCTATGATTACTGTCAGGCGATCTACAAAGACCATGATTTGGATGTACTTCCTGATTATCACTACTGTTACTTCGATCTTTGAAACAAGAGTGTGAAATCCCTGCTGGCTGGAGCAAATCCCTTGTTGGCAACAAAGGGGAACTGGAAGCATCCCCACCTTCAAAAACCAAAACAATAAAATGAGAAAGAAGAGATACAAGCAACATGTGATCCGATCAAGCACTGATATTGACTAAAATGAAAACTCATAGCAGATTCATGCAGTAAAGAACTCAAATAGTCAAACACAAATAATAAAGTCAACGAAGAATTGAAGATAAGTTACTAGGCAATTGAGAGATATATAGATGTAACCGGTAGCCTGGCTCCATTCTATATTTTGCTTGACCAGACACATCACCAACAAGTTCTAACAGCAAGTCTAAGTTCTCATCAATCCCCAATTGTTGACATTCGAGATGTTCTTTTCTCTTGTAGGCTTCATTGAGACACACAATCTCTGCATAGAACAACCTGCCGTGAGCACGAAGCATTTCTTTAGCATGTATACTCCAGCACAATACAGCACTGATGGAAAATGCAATTTCATCAAAATTTATCTATTAGAGCATGATTTGTTCATACTTTTCTGAAGAAGTCAGTATTTCAGACAGATTTTGAGTCCTTGGGGGGTGAGTGATGTAGGCAGCTTTCTGAAGTTGTAACCTTTTACTCGCATGTTTTTTTGGGGTGATTCAAAGTTAAAAAATGAATAATTTTGTGTATTACAACCCTTATCTATGTGAATATTTCCTAATTTGGACTTTTCAGGCTTCAGATCATATTTGAAGGCTGCTTAGATAATTAGTGAAGAAAATTGGACTGATTAGGGCTTAAGTTAAATAGTAAAAATTTCCTTTATATTATTTTATTTTATTTTTTTGAGGAAGACTGTTAGTTTCTAGGTCTCATTTTTTCGATTCAGAGTCCTTTGTTTCTTATTTATGTTGATAGGTTTCGTTTCCTTCTACAAATGTTTCTCTAATTGGATCCTTGGCTTCCCAAATATTTCCTAGTATCCTAATTTCAAAATCTACTTTTTTTAGGTAAGTTTATATTACATGAAGCAGCACCCAAGTTAGGTGTAAACACCCAATAACTAGATCAAATGAAGTTGAGAATAAAATTCAGTTTTTTTTTTAAATAAAAAAGAAAAGCCGGTGTGAGGTCATATTTGGGAGTGATTCCTTCACCTCGAGAAAAGATTCCTCAACTTTTTTGTGAAGAGTGATTCTACAACTCTACCCATAGGATTGAGAGAGTTTATCTAACAAGTTAGAACCTTTTTCTTTGCCTCTTGTGTAACATATTCCCTTTTTTCATGTGCCCACAATTGAATTCACAATCTATCGTCCCCAATCAAATTGACCCTTCCCAAGCAGTAATATCAAAGCACAACTTCCCAAACCTATCACCTAAACCCCTTGCCTATCAACCATAAAGTAGACATTACATCACATCATCTCGTTCAAATCTATCAACCACCATCGTTGGAATTTTCTAACAATTTTAGCCCCATTAACACCCTCTAATCTTAACCCTAGTTGTTTCCCTAATCACACCTAACCCTTCCCTATCACCTCATCTTTAAGCCTTCCCCATTTAGACATTGAATTCCCCGATCCTATTCGAACTAGGAGACCTGAACACCCTCATAAACCTACTTTCCTAACTCTGTAGGAAATCAAAACCATTACATCTCTTAAACCCTAACCTAACTAGAACACCAATCCAACCTCAAAACCCTTTCTTTCTAAGCCCACCTTGGGTGTTACACACATGCGGGAGCCAAGCCCCTTGGCGCTAGCATCAATGAGGATGTTTATCAATGATTTCGCCAGCCCACAAGGGTGGTGCCTCGTATGCAACTCAATAATGTTAAGACCATATCAAAAAACTAAGGGATACTGTATTATGATACAAGCAACAAACCGACGATTGCCACATGTCATCTCCACCATTAGTACTAAACAAGGGATTATGGAGATTGGCCACAATTTCTGTGTCCACTCAAGGAGGAAAATAGCTTATACCCACTCTGTGTTATTAACCATGAGTAGTGTAGATTGCATGTATCATACTGCTGATTGTATGCAACATGTACCATAATATGCAATTATACAATCCCAAAGCATAAATTCCATTCAATGGCTTCATGGAGACTCCCTTGCATCCATGGATGTCAACAGATTCTTGAATAATTTGAGAACTGCTCCATCTTATTAATGTATCTTGGATGCAATTCAAGGACAAAGAGAGGCCAATTGGGTGCCTGATTATCAGATAGATTGGTTGAGGAGAGTGAGTCTCGGAAGCAAGTTTCACTCAATTTCTTTACCCATGAACTACACATATGACTTCTCCTAATACAATAGATACTCATGAATTTGCCTTTTTTTGTATTGTTAAATACCTTGAGATTTCGCACCAAGTGATGTTTGTAGTCACCCCAAGCAAACCAAAATTGTTAAACTGCAAACAAGTCAAACCTCACGAGACATCTTCATGCAATAGTTTCTGCATGTGAATCATTCACAACATCACCATATCGACTCAAACGTGAGCTCCCAAGACACTTGGTTCCAGTTCCCATTGCTACAACTTGCAAATCTGTTAAGAAATAACAGAAAAAATGCACGAAAATCAAAATTACAGACCCAAGACAAGGTTTATTTATATATTGATTTATTTCACAGATCAAAGTGAGTGACAAAGCTTGTGTCAAGTTTCATGAAGCATAGAACCAAAAGGGCATAACCCAAAAAAATAAAAATAAAAATGGGGAATATGATTATGTTTTTCATATCAAGGAAGACAAATAAATGAATAATGCAATGTAAAATACATGCCAAACACGAAGAGGCTTATTCTCGCAACGTAAAAGCAACAGCAAAACGGAGGAACAGAATGAGATACAGTCTAAACTGCAAGAGAAAATAAGGTAATGATTTTTTCTTTTCTTATCTTTTTTTAATAAATAAGGTAATGCTTGTTGAGTGTTATAAAATTTGGTTAAAATTCATAATACAGCATGAACTGAAAAAATGCAAAATCTCACTAACTCTGGCACTGGATTTAGTAAAACTTCGTTCTTAATTGACGCAATACTATCTCAACTATCAGTTATAAATTGGGTTTTCAACATAAACTTTAGGGCAAAATTGGGTCATACCATGAGATGGAGAAGACATGAGAAACGCTGCCGAAACAGTAGTTTCACGGCCTTAGGGCTTTCCCGTTCTAGAGAGAGAATGCTTTCTTAGATACCAGCTCGCCCCAATGCTCTGAATACCACTGACCATCTTCGCCAGCATCCATGGTTATGGCTCATGCCAAAGCAGAGGGAAGGTCTAAACATTTTGCAGAGCCAGGACAATCAGTCACAGTACAAATTATCATCCGTTAAACGAGGAAAGGGATGGTATGGTTCATGGTTACCGGCCACCCCAAAAACTCATCTCGATTGGTGAATCCGCCATCTTGATCAGAAATCCGTCCTTTAAATAAAATTTAAAAAATTTATTAAAATTTATTATAAATATTATTTTTAAAAAATTCAATAAGAAATAAGGATGCTACGTTATTAACTTTCACTTTTTTTCATTAATACGTGAATATTGAGATATTCTTTTCCTATATGAACTTATATTAATAATTAAATTTACGTCACACTAAAAAAAATTATAAAATTGTCATGGATGAAATATATAATTATATATAGACTACAATAAATAATAGATTAAATCGATGAAAAAATAGCCATCAAAATCTCGAATTGACGGAAAACCCTAATCCTCTAAAAACAACTCAAATTATTACAACCTAACTAACTATAATAAAAAATTATTACAACCTAACTAACTATAATAAAAAATTATTACAACCTAACTAACTATAATATTATATATGGAAATTAAAATTGTTGGTTTACATTTTATAATTATTTTATTATACAAATAATAACGAATCCAAAATTTTTTATAATATTATCTAATTTAAAATATATTATTGATAAATATAAAAGAATATAGTACATTACATAATTTATAATAAAAATAAATTAATAAATAAAATAAAAGATTTGGTTATCAATGTATAAATTAGTAGAATGCATACGAATTTTTGAAACAATACTTTAATTTTTCAAAAATCTAATTTTTTAGGTTTCTAGAATAAATTTAGTATAAGAGATTGATAGTAGAGAGAGATTTCAAATGGCCTCATAGTATGAACTATATCTTTAAATTAATATTCTTAAATTTATATTAAAAGTCACCATGTTATAAAAATAAAAACAAATATAATTAGACAATTTATTCCTATGTAAAAAAAATCAAACAATAGGCAGTCATAGATGAGAGAGGGAAACAGAGCTAACATGTTCCAAGCCTATATTTTATTACCTTTACATATCTAATTTAAACTTATAATAATCGCAGCTTAAATGCATGCTTGAAAAACATTAGAGTTGTATTATCTTTTTTTTCTTTTTGATAAGATATACTTGTTGTATTATTATTTTATTTTTTTTATGAGAAAAATATGATCCTTGTTGCATTACCTTTTATTATTATTTTGACAAAAAATACTTGTTGTATTACTTCTTTTTTTTTTTGACGAGAAAAATAAGAAAAATAAGAAAATAACAAAAAATACTTGTTGTATTAAGAAATACATTTTATTTTTTATTAACAATAAATGCTTTTTGTATTACCTTTTATTTTTTTACCAGAAAAATATGATACTTGTTGTATTACCTTTTATTTTATTTTTGATAAAAAATACTTGTTGTATTACTTTTTATTTTATTTTTACGATAAAAATAAGAAAATAGCAAGAAATACTTGTTGTATTAAGAAGATAGTGTCGCAGCTTAAATGCATGCTTAAAAAGCATGAGACTTGTTGTATTACCTGTTTTTTTTTTAC